CGCTCATCGTCAGAATGTCATTTTATTTAATAAATTTAATACCGATTATGAAGAACATAGAAAACCTTATTCGTAATAAATTTTCCTAGTTTCCTAGTTTCTCATGCTTTTTGGTTGTGGCTCCATCTTCAGAATAGGAATAATGAAGAATATGAAACACGTTTTTATTTAATTTTGTGCGTAATTAAAAATTACGGCAATAAACTGAGTTTAAATATCACATTTGTACATTTTCTACATAATTATGACGAAGCGAGCCCCCACTCTTCAACTTTTAAGCCTATTCTAAGCCATTTCTTGTTAAATTGAAGTAAAAAGAAATATGTATAAAACTGACAGAAACCTATTTTTTTTTCTCAGGCAGCAACACTATTATATACTTCTAATATTTAAGAGTTAGTAATATGAATAAACACGAACATGAGATATGTAAAGCAAAGTAACCAAATATGGGATGTTGTTCCTAATAAGGAAAAATTGTAAATTTTAAAAAGTTCCAGCAGATCTACGTTGCATGCAGATTTTACTTGGCTTATTTAAAAGTTGTTTTTTTTTCTGAAAAGAAATAATTTAGGACATCATTTCTGTATTCCATCTCCATATTAGGGATAATATTCTATATTTGGTTACTTACCTCTATTAAAATGGTATATATACGAAATCTCCGTGAATAAAATAAAACAAGTAATTTTATTTTAACCTTAAACTGCTAATAACACCTACCTTGACGCAATTTCAATACAGTCGACGTGATTAAGAAGAATAAATTAATTTCAAAACCGATGACAAAAAAACTCTCTCTTTGCTAGTTAAGGAAGTACGAAAATTTTACGAATATCTTTAAAAGAAATGTTTTCCTTGTCGTCGAAATCGACCGTACTTTCGCACTTCACTTCGTCGTCGCTGAAAATATAATAGAAGCGACTTTTATTATTTTTTGGGAACATCGATGTTGATAAACCCTTGGAGCTAAATCTGAGAAATGGAATCAAAGATTTTTCCAAGGCCGTCCTTAAGTGGAGTGATTAACGCGTTCGATCTGCGATATGAAAGTTAAGCAAATTCCTCAAAATCGGTCATAGGATGGGTGACCATAATTGTATTATCTCGAGCTCTTCCGTGCTTTAAAAGGCATGTCAAGCCGTTTGATTCCGGTTACACTTGCAGTCGTTGACACCCACCAATCCGAACTGGGACCGCGCCCGCTCTTCTTATTCGATCCCATTTTGATCAATGCCTGTGATACAACAGTAGGATCATTAATAGGCAGATGATGATGATGACTTTTTACACTGACAGACCGCTATATATACCAATGCATTATCGTGGGAAATCAATTTTGGTTTATTTTCCCTCATAACAAATCACAATAATTTTTAATAAGATAAAGTAAACTAGTCATACACTAACACCCAGTTTCTGAATTGACTATTAAAAGTTAAATTCCGATTTTTTTTTATGGTCAGGGCAAAAAATCCCAGTTTCGTAAAACTGGGGCTTTTTGCCCTGTTATTGATAACAATTTAAGTTATTAATTTTTGTACTTTTCTCAATTCAGAAACCCGTGGTATTTTTGTAAACAGGATTTCTCTAAAAAATTGGTTCTATGAGTTTTCTAAGAGTTACAGAAACACCTTGTAGATATCCAAGTGCAGTTTGCTCTTTTGTGCTACTTGGGTATATAAGTGAAAATATCGAAAAAGGAGAATGTGCCATAATCCACTACGCAGGCCCAAAGGCTTCTCCTGAAAAACAGAAGAAAAGAAAGAAGATTTGATTAAATGTTTGTTTGTTTGCATTGAATGGGCTCCGAAATTACTGGACCGTTTTAAAAATCCTTTCACCTTTAGGAAACAACATCATACGCGGGTGATATAAGCTATAATTTATACGGACAAAGTCACAGGTAAACAGCTATAGCTAGTATAAAATTAGACCCGCCCAATTATTTAAGTGTTGAAAACCTAATTTTAACTAAATTAAAAAATATCAATGCCCACTATTAAATAATAATTCTTTAAACCTTTAAGTTTGGCGCCCCCTAACACTGGCGCCCAGAGCACGTGACCCCACTTGTCCTCCCCACCCCCCCCCCACCCCCAGATCTGAGCCTGATTAACTCAAAAGTTGCTTTTAAAAGTTATATTATTAGTCAAATTATAGTATTCTAATTTAGCAATTTTTAAGATGGTATAAATAGTAACATTTGAGTTTGAAGATACTGAAAATAAGCTTTAAATTCATAATCCACTCGATTACACTCTATACTTAACTGCTACCTATGCTAATATTGTCATTAGTAATTAGTAGTATAAGTGAATTGGAAATGTTGTCTGTATAATAGAATAACCTCTTTTCTTTCTGTGAGAATCACCGAATCAATTTGGGTACTCTGTTTTATTAAAAAATCATAAGGGCAGCTCCTGCAGTTGAATAAACAGACAATTCCGTTATTCAATAAAAACATAACTAAAACCATTTTTTTACATTATTTATAAAGTTCTTTTTTAAGATAATTTCTCCTTATAAAGAACTAAGTATTTTCCCGTGTTTTTCGCGCGTATAATATAGATTCCCGTTCGTGAATTTTGTTTACACTTCAGATGTTTTATTTTCACTTTTTATATTTTCATTGATTGGCTAGTTCACAATTTTTATGATCATAAATAAATATACATTAGCTATTACATCGTTTTTTTCTTGAAATCCTAGTTGATAGTGAACAGGTGAATTAGTTATATAATTTATAAGAAACGTCACAATATGCGTAAAGAAATTAAAAAAAATGCGGTAAAGTTGAAAACCACTGCAAGATTTCAAATTAATTTGTTATATTTCTAAATTGCTTTTCTAATTTAGAAGTATTAATTTTTATTTTATTTTTACCCGCATTTTCGTTCATGAAGTATGATTACTTTTAATAACCAACTTGCATAGAAGTTTTTATACCCTATTTATGAAACTATTTTTGCGATAAAAAATACTCTATATCTTTTCCTAATGCCAACTCTACCTCTGTCAAAATCTATTCAGTACATGCATGAAAGCTTCACAGGCAGACCTTAAAACAGACAGAGTCACTTTCTCAGATATAACATTTAGTGATAATAAGAATTTTTTACAGACTTTAACATACTTTTTTGGAAAACATTATGCCTACCGTCAACGTTAAATATATCTAAATATACTCGTACCATCAGATTTTTAAGCATTTAGTAATTAACGAAACCATTTCATAACGTTTACAAACACTCAATACTCAATAATTTTTTTATTGTCAACATATGTAACATAGAATAAACGGCATAAGTATAAACATGTGAACATATGACCCGGTAGGGCAAGACAATGTGGAACGACAGGCAGATGTTAAAAAAATATCAAATAGATCAATCAGTCAGTTTAAGGTTGTAACGGTGCGTCGTTCCACCGACCGTTTTATTTAGTCCTAGGTATCCGCAAGGAAACTTTTTGTCTTTGATCTTCAATATAATTTCTTTTTATTATTCACCTTTCGTAATTTGAAATTTTGACGAATCCAATATGCTCTTTTAAAATGTGAAAAATTCATCTGTTGTGAACATGATAATTTAATCATATAAGTTTAATAATAATAAAGTTATTATAATTTTAATAAGAAAAATGTAAATCTAAAAGTATATCTTCGTGAAATATCTACTAAGTTTTATCTATTATGAAAAATTCAGAAACGAGGTTTTTCTTATTACCCTCAAATAAATCAGAATTTCAAGCTTAGTCAGTCTTTAATTCATTTGCCTAAGTATCGAACCCGTCACAACTAGCGCCCAAAGTGGGGCATGAAATAGGCTGACTACACACTACAAAACAAGACCGGACTTCAAACTGCAATAGAAGACAATAGTGCATACATAACGACCAACACCTCAAACATATTTACTCACACAAATCAGACAATAGATAGTTCAGCGCTGATCACAAATGTGATCGATTCTGATGCCATTGTATCGAGGAACATAGAAACACGTACTCAACATAGTGGTATAAAACAAAACAATATTATTTAATAGTAAATAATTTTTAGATTCCGATTACATAAAGGTACGTAAGCCATTTTTTTCCGAAAAATTTTATGAGAATCTAATGATAAATAATATTATTTTTAATATTTATAAAATATATATTACAATTTTACATTCATTTGAAGTAATTAATTTTAACCATGCATATATCTTACCTGAATTTATGACCTTAAATTACCAAACGTGTTTTTTTTTCCAAATTCTTAAACAACACTTCTTTTAGTGTAATCATCCCTGTTTTTCTTTTTGGTTTACTCTTCACATATTCTACCTAAATAGTCTTCTAAATACTATATAGTACTCACTCGATACCTTTTTGAGCGGCTGACTACTCTTTAAATAAGCCTTAGGTCGGATTATCATCGCCATCTTTCATTCATTTAATTTTCACATTACATGTAGAAATTAATTTATTCACTTGACATTGGCAGAATTGTGCGAATGGACAGATAAGCTATTAATAAAAGAAGAAGGAACCTTATGTCTGAGCAGTTGACAACTCATAAAAATAAGCCTTAGGTTGGAGCGGTTGATTACTCCTTAAAAAAGCCTAGATCTTTATTTTTTTAAACTTAGATTAGTAATTAATTCATCTTAAGTTTACAAAGAAGGTCTAGAATCCAATGAGTGATATACCTGTCCTATATTTTACTCATTGTTTTGAGGTTATAATTTTTCCTTACACTTTTTGCTTACTATTATTTGATAATAAATTATTGTTTAACTCATTTTCTTTTTAATGATTACAAAAAGCATTAATTAACATTTTGCAATACATAGACATGTTTGACAGTGCGACAAATCCGTGATGATGTTAGTGCACCGCATTATGCTCCAGATAACCCCCACCCAGTTTCTTTACAGTACTGCCTGCCGCCGCTCGGACCTTTCTCTCAGACAGTGACACAGTGACCGTTTTGGCGGTCGAGGGCTCGGGCCATGCACCACTATCAAGTTTTAGTGCCGGTTGTGTTCGTACTCTACCATTTGGTTGTGGCATTCGCTAACACCACGCCGACTGTAACCACCGACAGTAACCTCAGTTTAGCCGAAACCGTTTATGCAAAACTTTCTAGTGCGTGTAAGTAAAACAACAACAGTTTAATTGTAACGGGTTATAAAATCGTACACTGATGTCTTCTTGTGTAATTCAAATTAAATTCTGGTCAATACACAATAATCAAAGCTTTCTATCCAATGCTAGACTTCCATATATACTTTTTTATTATCGTCTCACAGATTTGCCTTTTTACAGGTAGAGCATTAATGGACCTCCAATATAACTCAATGAATGACAAAAATGACTTGATAAAAACTATGAAGATCATATACCTAAAAGGCAATACAACTAAAACTTTCCCAATAGACACCGCCTATGTAGAACTCACACAACTTTATATATTTGATATCACTAAACAAACCAAAATTATTATACACGGATACAAGGATAATTCATTGTCTGCAGTTCCCATGGACTTAGCAAAAGCTTACAATGAAAAGAAAATGTTTAACGTGTTATTATTAGACGCAGAAGAAATGATTGGGAAGTGGTACGTTCCATCAGTCCATAACGCTCGCCTAGTTGGAAAAAGGCTGGGGAATCTAATAGCAAATTTAGAAAATTTCGGAGCAAACGCTGAAGATTTTCACATTATCGGCATAAGTCTCGGCGCTCACATAGCTGGATGGGCTGGAAAATACTTTCGACAATACAAAGGCCGCAGCATAGGACGGATAACAGGACTAGATCCCGCAGGGCCATGCTTCTCGTATGCGTTAAGTGATCAAAGACTTGATAAAACGGACGCAGTTTATGTTGATGTTATACACTCAAACAGATTAGTTCAAGGTATTATAGAAGCTTTGGGTCATGCTGATTTTTATATTAACGGAGGAGGACCAGGTCAACCCGGTTGTTTTATACCATCCTGTAGTCATTTAAGAGCAGCTGAAGTGTATATAGAAAGTATTCGTATACCTAAGTCATTTGTGGGTGTACAGTGCAAAAATTGGGAGCAATTTCAGAAGAACTCTTGTGATAAAAATGATTACGCCGTCCTCGGATATGGATCATCGAGCACCGCCCGGGGTCTTTATTATTTACGAACAGCGTCCAAATATCCTTTCGGGCTCGGTATCAAAGGCGTTACAAACGTGAAAAAGAAAGCTGTAGATCCCTGGTTAACAAATCTTAATGTTACTTAATTTTTGTTAAAATTTTAGCTTCTTTTTATTAAATTGTTGCCATACTGATAAGATATCCAAAGTTTTGCCTTTCATTGGAATTTATATGTCGCAAAGTGAGTGCTTATATAATTTTCACATATTATCTACACGAGTAACAAAACTTGGTAAGCGAATTTATTGCAATCAAATTTCCGGAAATTTCACAGCAGTTAATAATGTTTGGGAACTCGGAATCTTGCTAAATTACTTGAGTTTTTGTTGAAATATTTTTCTTGGTAAACGAATTTATAAAACAGCCGTGCTTATCATTACTTTATCTCATAAAAATGACTTTTACTTTAGAGGAACAAGTAGTTACACGTAATGACCATGATGATATGTCAATTTAAAGATAATTTTGTGGATGTTATTACATAGATTCGAATATTACAGTTTAAAATGTAGTTAATAAGAAGTCACAATTGCAAAAACCTATATTTTTTAATGTCGTAACAAATTGTACTGCACGTTTAGCGAACATTTTTTTGTCATAATAGTCGGCATAAAACAATGCAAAGATCTTATGTGTGTACATTAAAACATATGTTGCAGCATACGATTTAATATAAGCATTAAGAAACATGCAGTATGATGTTTTGTAAATGGAATTAAAGGTACAATGTTACTGTCATATTAATATATATAATTTTAATTATAAACTATATTATTATTCGACTATAGATGAAAGTCAGAGACTAATTTGCATCACATCTTACACAACTGACATCGAAATCATGTCAAATTTATAAAATGGCATTACAAAGCCGTTAAATTAGTCGGTAATTAATTTCTTTGCAAACTACAGCCTGTGACTCAATAAACTTTTGTCTGTGTAAAGGTATTTCTTGATATTACAATGTTGAAATTTGCTAGCGATTAAAAGAAAATATTTAAACTACAAATACTTTGACACTGAATACACAATTGATTTTGATTTCACATCAGTGAAAACTGCTTATTACAAAAGACGCTGTCCGAATTACTGCTGAGTTTCTTTAGACTTCATGGCCGCCACTTGGTTCATTAAGTAATTATTACCGAGTTAATTCTAAGTCTACACCATTATTGTAAATGTTGCAAATCCAAGATATTTCTTATCTTAATACTATTACATAATAATATGCTTTGTAATGTTCAAAGTATATTTTTCACTAGATGTAAACTTCGCCCACGTGGTGCGAGAGTACTGTGTACACACTGGCCTGTTATGCTGGAGTCTTAAGCTAACCTTAATTATAAATTTATCAGTAAGCATTCACCTTAATATTATCATCATTAAGCTAATTATTCAATAGATGGTTCCAAATAAAACATCTACCTGTATTTCTGTGAATTACGCGCATATCTTTAAAGAATAGCCAAGTTGCTATTCTCTCCATTTTACTGCGTAGTAGAATCAACACGCCTTACAAAAAATAAACAAACAAATGCTTTCTTTGAAAAATAGTTCTGTTATAAAAGTCGTTTGATAATTATACCTTGAACATTTTACTTGGACCCAGATATTTGACTACTGTTGTTATTCTGGACTTTCAAGGGCTTTCCTTTAAAAGGTTTAAAACAGCAACTTGACGGTCAGCTTGTTCTTGCTTTCCGAATTCAGCATTTTCAGTAAATTTAGCGCATGACGCGAAATTAAATTTTGCCAACAGATATTCTGCCATCTCTTCAATTTGTAGGTGTTGAACAAATCTAGTTTCGCCCACTCAGTGTTTTTTTCAAGTTTAGTAAATTTTCCCTCAAAGCGTTTCTTCAACATTATATGTTATTACAATTTCTTATATTCAAACGAGAAGAAAGTTTTTGATGGTTCAATAACATCGTAGTAGAAAGAAGAGTGAACTAAGACGCCGGTATGTGGTTCCTGAATACTAGTGAAAATACAAATCACGATATACTTAAAATTGAATGGCCATTACAATTATCTCAGTGTTCAGTTTACAAAATAAGGTTCTAGTTGTTGCGTCGTTGTGGTAGGTAAATTGGATTATTTGCAGCGTTTTTTATTGATACAACATCAGAACAGAAATTAAGATTTCTGTTCTGTTGTTGTATCAATAATACTAACTAATACTATAAATTAATTTCAAGCTAATTTGCTTAACTATTACTACTGCACACAACCTAGAAGTAGTACACGTATTAACAATAAATAGAATAATGATTAAATCAAATGAAAATGAAAAACAATTACAACGATTATGAGAATAAAATTAAATGATTGAAAAATAAGAAAAAAAAAACTAAAACAAAGTAGTTGTTAAGAAAATATAAAAAAGAGCATGAAAATTTAGAAGAAAAAAATTAGAAACTCAGTTGCTTATATTTCTGCTTACAGTATTCTATCCCTAGTCAACAGTAATCACAAAGTTAGCAATAGAAAATACATCTAAAATCTAGACATGTTAATAATATTCAAAATTCAATGAATGTTGTTCTAAACTTTCATGGTCATTTACATCATAATTATTTGTAAAAACTCCATGATCATGGCGCTTGCAACATCGGGAACTCGTAAAATATAAGGTACAAGGTTGCAATTTTCTTATCAAATACTGTTTTTTCGCCCTCTTAAATTATATCCCCCTTAAACTATATCACCAGCATATAATGTAGCTTCCCGTAGGTGAGGGAAATTTTAAAATGGCTCCAGTTGTTTCGGAGTCTTTTCGATGCAAACAAATAATCGAATCTTTTCGCTTTATCATATTGTTATTTGTATTGATGTCAAGCAAGTTGGTGGCTTAGATGAGGTTGGTGGTATGTAAATCGGTGACGGATGATAGTTTGTCATCGACGTGATCTACAACATGCCAGGACATTGGTGGCCGTCCAATATCCTATCCTAAAAATATATCGACGTCCATTTCCTTAAAAATTTCAATTAATTTATATCTTTACGATACGTGAAGCCAAAAGACAGTCTCTTTTGTTTATTTCATTTTTTTATCATTATTTTTTCGACTTAATACGTGCTTATGTTGTAACGGGATTAAGTGTTTAATAAAATTACGTTCATCATAAAAAAAGTTCACATTTAAAGTTATTAATCTTTCGTTATAGTAATATGGATGTTACGAACTGGCCAGCAGGCTGGTGAGATATTTTTTGAAGTACATTTCTTGTTGACGTTTTATTCCCCTTTTTTCTTTTTTTTTGTTCTTTCTGTTTTTATGTAAGTTAGCTGCGCGTTTTAGTTTGTATCTATTTTAATTATTATCTTTTTTATATTATTTCCTTGACTTTGAGCCCTTTCTTTTCTTCCAACTAACCAAAAAATAAAAAAGGAGAATAAGATGTCAACCAAAAATATACTTCTAAAAATATCTCATCGGCCTGCTGGCCAGTTCGTAACAAAAGTCATGAGCCCTTAGAAACTTACAGCCATTTAACTTGCTTACTTATAATTAATTGAAATTGCAAAAGTTTGGATAACGGTTAAAAATAATGACAACATTTTTTTTAATAAAATTAAATAAAAAAATTGAGAACTTTAAACGCCGGCATTGCTGACGCACATATTGTGACGTCAAAGTCTACGACTAAACGTGCCTTTCGATGAAAATCTATTTTTCTTGAAAACTAAATATTTTTGATAATGGACTTTATTCATATTGCCTTAATATATTCACGTTATATATTTTTAACCCTTTTCAATGCCGCGTCCATCGTCCACGTGGATTTTGGCCTGTGACAATTGCTAAAATTATTACAAAAACCGGGTAAAGAAATTAGTTCAATCGCCTTCTATATAAAACTAGTTCAGTAAGTGCATAGATCAGAACTCTTAAAGTAAGTGAAACTTACAACCTTAAACCAATAAAATATTCAAAAGTGCGCCGTAAAAACAATCGGTCATACTTCCCATTGTTATGTCACGTGATAATTGTACTATCATAAATGAAGCATGGAGACAACGAAACTCTGTAGTGTCAATGAACCGCTATTAACCATTATCCAACAGATTATGACGTAATATTTCCCATAAACCTCACAGTGGCCACTCTAAGACCTGCAGCTATTTTGAGTTAACAACCTCATTCTAGTTCTTGTAAATAATATATCACAAAATGACAGAATTTAGTTCTAAGATTGTAATAAAAAAAAAGATAGCGCGTTGTTTAACTCGTTCGGTCTGCGATGGAGGAAGAAAACTTTCGCAAGAGCCGGTCAAAAAATGGATGGTGAGTCATGTAGTGTTGCCAGATGTCCCGATTTGCGCGGGACATCCCGATTTTCAGGGGTCTAAAGATCCGTCCCGATTTGTACCAGGTCGGGACGATAAGTGTCCCGAACAATCGATGTCTTTACTAAATGTACTAAAGCTTGTATAAAACAAATAAATACTTTATTCAGTAATTTTAATATGTTCCTTAAACGAGAAACACTAAGTTCACGATAAAATTTTACCTACTTGTTTAAAAAACAAAGGCAACATAAAATGTTGGTGGATTTTTAATAATTTTTCTTTAGGAATATTACGTTTTTAATTTTGTCATCGTGAGCCACAATAGTTATAATAGTATCTAATAGCAGGCACGCAGTTGAAGTCATAAGAAGACGAATGAATAGATAAAAAATACTTCTGTAGAATAAACGAACGAATGTCAAATTACTGACTAAAGTAATTATTTGTTTTTTTACAAGATTTAGTACATTTACTTAAGACATCGATTGTTCGGGACATTTATCGTCCCGACCTGGTACAAATCGGGACGGATCTTTAGACCCCTGAAAATCGGGATGTCCCGCGCAAATCGGGACATCTGGCAACACTACCTGTGCCCCCAGAAATGGCGATGTTAACAGGCTGAAGAACATAAAAAATTTTGATATAATAATAAAACTTAATAAAAGCCCAAACAGAAATCTTACAAAAACACTATTCAATATATATTTGGATATTTTACTCGTGCATAATTTATGGGCAACACTTTAAAAACGGCTTAATTTTCTTCTTAGGCACTAATTAAAGTTCA